TTATCTTTTTGTGATTAAATTGATAATTTGATCAACATATAGAGTACATGTAAATAATAGAGTATATGTAAATAAAACTTTTGTCTGAACATTTGATCGACGTACAGAATTAGACTATAATTAGATCTTTTTTTATCTAAACATGAATATGGCAACTCATGTCTAAGGATAGCACATAATCGATCAACGTCGACACGTGGAAGAATTCTGTAATGTATCTCCCAGGTAACTTATAACTTCCTCTATTTATCGAAGTGTCCGTCTCACCGTAACAACGCGACTCGTCGATTCGCATAATGTGCTTGTTAAAAAAAGCCACTGCGCGACGCGACGTTACGTTCGTCCTACAACCGACGTCGTCGTGTATCCCGCACCCTTTTACAATCCACGTCTGCGCGCCTCCCGACCGGGTCTATAAAAGCGACGCGGAGCGTCACGACGCTTCAGACGTTTGAGATACGCGCACCACGGAAAATGTAACCAAGCGGTTGTCGTATCGATACCTTGCTATCGGAGTCTCTATTTCCGTCTCTCAAGTGACACCTGCTCCAAAAGCGAAATTGTCAGAGAACACGGCTGACATAATTCCTATTACACGCGCTGACTTGATTCGACGTTTGTGGGACTTGGGAGCAGCTGATACACGCGCGTGCCAGGACACTCGTCGCGATAAGAAGATGTAACTGAGGACAAACTAATCGGAATTTAATCGAGTAAGAGTGATTTGTACGCGTATTTATCGATATACATGAAAGACAGTGTACCAGAGTGAAGTGACGTTTCTATCAATTGTCAAACAAATTTTATCGCCGTGGTACGTATCTATGTCGTGTTATCACTTCGCAATCATTGTAGCTGCGTAACTTAATATACGATTCTGCACAAATTTTCTAATGCCGATATTTTAATTCTCAGCAAATACCTTATTGAGTTTTACAACGAAATTTTATCCACAATTTAAAAAATTCATGAATATTGAAATTCGTTTTTTTTTTTTCATATGACGAAATTCTGGAAGACGTGTGTTTGCTGAGAGTTAAAGATTATAAAAATCTTATACTTTCAAAATTATGCTATGTTTAATGAATGTTTATGAATTTTATAACTATATTAAAATATATCACAATAAAAAAATAAGAAATGCAAAAAATTATAATAAATTATTAATGAATCATAAGAAACCTTAAAAAATTATCATTATAATTTACTATAGTGCACACTGTACTTCTATAAATGTTTAAAGGCTTAACATAGACGATTTCCGCGACACTTGTAGCTCCTATAAGTTGTCGATTTCTATATATATATATACATATATCGACTCAATTGCCTCGTTAAACATCACAGTATGCACGCACGCATGCACGCACGCACGCACACAAAACTATAACGCCACTAACTCGCGTGTATTAAAATAGAGTGCTCAGTAAACATAAATGCTAAATATATCTGTGCCTCTGAAGCTTGTCAGAATTAACCGGTCCGAACCAGTGATTATGTGAAAAAATAACCATGACACAAAATAATGAACAGAAAATAGAAAAATGGGGGAATCATCATTGTTATCTCCAATTTGTCAAAATTAAAGTCATTACATTACAAAAGGTAAATTCAAAGGTGAGCGACGTTTTTACAATGATTGTATAGAATATGTGTATAAACACACATATTCTACGAAACAAGAACATATAATATTGTTCATCTCGTTAATAATTGAAATGGTAAGGTTTTCAATATGTAACTTCGTCCAGTACGTCGCGTTATTAAAATATACATGACCACGCCACCCACAAGTTTATCGCGTCATACTGCATTCGTTTCGTCACATGATGACATTTACGTTGTGTCTTGGATCTCCAGAAATTTATTGGAACGATCCGAAATAGATAAATGTTCATCGTTAAATGAACGATGTTTGTTTTTGTGATTTAAATGTCTCTTAATGATATATGTGTTGTAGTTCGATAAAAGATGATCTTTTGAAATTACTGAGAACATAGAATCTTTCATTAGCCTTTAAATTTTTTTTTAGATATGTATACCTTCATTATCGTTACGTTTATTACTAAACTAAATAACATTATATTATACAAACTTAAGTAATAAATAATATAAATGCAAGTAATCAAAAATTCACAAATATTAATTTTTGTATTTTTAAGAACTGATTATGTATGTAAAGTGACGTAAGATAATGATTAACAATTTATCGTATTTTCTATCTCTCTCTATCTGGCTTTCAATTCATTTAAATTACATTTCAATGTAAACTAAATATATAACATTTCAAATTATCCTTGATTCGCTCAAAATAAAGGAAACTCTATCGATCTGCCATCTATATGTGTATACCTTTTACCTTTCGCGGTCTACTTTATGACACATTTAACTCTGTTTTCTTATTTCTCGTTACAAATGCGATGAAATTGGACAAATCAATGAATGCATGACTGTCTTGCGAAAACAAAAATCGCGTGCAAGCTTGGAAAGTTTTGGGATTCGGCGCCGATCAGACTCACGCATCGTCGACCAAAGCGTGAACGGTTCTCGCTATTGATCTAGCGAGGGTCTAAATGTCCTGGGTTCACCCGGCCACCCTCCGGCCCGACTCTCAGGCTTTCCGCTGCACCACGAGAATACAGCTCTTTTCAACGAAAATGACAAAGAAAAAGTATCTCGATGCACGCGAAGAAAACAAGGATTGCTATCTCCAGTGTCGATGTTCCAAAAACTCTTCTTGCCGCGCTATCAACAAAATTATCGATTCTCAAGACACATAATCATAAAATCGAGCAAGAATATAACACACGATTCCATTTATACGAGATAGCAGATACACCGCAGTGTTTAATGACGCACGTGCGAAATTACGCGGTTAGAAGAGAAATGGCACTCAAAACCACATGGAGTATCGTTAGCTAGATCAATGTCTGCTTAATGTTGCTGTTATGCAATAACTATAAATGGATTCCGATGAATTCTAGTTTGTGCATTTTATCGGTGAAAATACATGATTTTCGTTGTACATATGTTGTATAACATAACTACATAAATTCTCAGTAGTCTTGCTTTCATCTATAAATTCTTTAAATCTGTTTATAATCGAATTTTCCATGTCAATGTTTAAATCATTTCCTCATAAATTTCAAACGGAGTAACATACAGTTCTAGATATTAATTTTCAAATTAGAACAATTAAATATGTAAAGTAACTTTTATTTTTTATTTAAAAAAATAAGGCTTTATGTTATATATGTTTTCTTTATTCAAATATGATCAGTAAAAATACTCAGATCTTTTACGTAATTCTTTTTAAAAAAAAAAAATAAATTTTATGAAAAAAGACGTGCATTTTCATTTAAGGAATGGTTACGTCATCGGGACAATCTTTCTTCAGATAGCTTCTACCTCGCGCGGCCCACAATATCACACGTGTTCTCGATATATCATAGAACCGCGATTGATCTACGTGTTGCTATTTATGAACTAGAACGCGCGTTGCACGATCGGAGAAGAGTGAATATTATCTTTTGGCGGAAGGAAGCGTGGGAACGTCCCTCAATACGATAGTACGTTTGTCGCGTTGATTGTAGGCGTAGTATATGAAGTCCATTGTATCTATAGGAGTCGAAGATAATATTCCTTTGACAGAGTTATCCGAGTATAAAATCAATGTTGAAGTCCGTCAATATGGACAGATGAAATTCTAATTTCCGGTCTCGACGAAGAGGCGGTCTATACAAAACGAAAATGGCAAGGACAAATACGTTACATCTATATGAATTGAAAATAGCAAGGATTAAAAAGTCAGCCTTTGTTACAATAACGATGAAAATAGAATAAAATAAATTGAAATAATAATACGATATATTAAGAATAATGTCTAAAAAGAAAAATAAATGATTTAAATTAAAATAAAATAATTCTCTTTAATCGTACTATTATATTCAATTTTTTGTAAGATCTCTCAGTCGCTTGCAATACAGATTTGCACTCTCTATATTCGAAAATAGAAATCAATCTGTCTAAAACTCTGTATTCTTTTTTTGTTCCAGATGAAGCTGCACGAGAAGAAAGAATCAGGCATCCACAGAATCCAAGAGGTACCCCTCGAGGAATTGGACTTATCAAAGGAATACAATGTGGAGAAAACTCTAGGCGAAGGTAGTTTCGCGAAAGTCCTACTGGCAACGCACAGGACCACTCAGACAAGAGTGGTCCTAAAAGCGGTTCATCAAGAACTCACATCCGAGAAGGACTTCTTCCGGGAATTCCATTACTCGTACCATTTAAGCCCGCATCCTAATATACTCTGCTCGTACGCAGTTGCCTTTAAGGCGGAGAAATGTTTCGTCTTCGCGCAGGAGTATGCGCCCTACGGCGATCTCGCTGGCAATGTGAAAGCCGGCGGGCTCAACGAGGATGCCTGTAAGAAAATTGCTGGTCAACTCGCCTCGGCCCTCGATTTTATCCATTCAAAACAACTGGCCCATCGTGACATCAAGCTAGAAAACGTGCTAGTGTTCGCGCAGGACATGAGCAAAGTGAAGCTATGCGACTTTGGCTGCACAAAGCGCGAGGGCACCCTTGTGAATAAGATCCGTTGTACCTGGGTGCCGTTCCAACCTCCCGAGATTCACGAGATCATTAAGAATGAAAGATATGCTTGCAAGAGAAGCTCAGACTGCTGGCAGTTTGGCATTGTCCTTTTCGTTTGTCTGACCGGTAATCCACCATGGCAAAGCGCCGATCCAATCCAAGACCCAGACTATTCGGCCTTTCAACGATGGCTGAAGAGACGTACCACCAAAATCCCACCGACTTTCCGTCGCTTCACTCCTAGGCTACTCCGATACTTTAGGCGAGCATTCGAACATAAGCCGGAGAAGAGGCCTCACGTGACCGAGATCAACAAATACCTAAAGGATTCATGGTGTATCAGCAAGATTAGCCACAGTGCGACGTCGACATCAGTCGATGTTAGCGAGAGTCTTGCCAGGCGAGGCGATAGCCTACTCTATCTAGATACTATTCTGGACGATCGGCATAACGTAGATGAGAACAAGAATAAATTAAGAAAGTTACTTAACAGTTACGGCCTGGAAACTACGGTGGATCAGAAAGTCGTCACTAAGAGGATATGGGAATGGGTAATGCAATGTGATTCTAATATAGACACAGAGCCCGGTCTGATCAGCAGCTTCAGTACGGAGGACATGTGAGAGATAGTGAGAACTTGCAGCGAACCGTGCCTTCGGATCACTCAAGGGGAACCGAGTAAGTTCCGAATGGGCAGCTTCTACATGCCGACCTCGTATAGATGTGCCAAATAATCTGCTAGAGTTATCTAGCCGAGAGACACTTTCTGGAACTCGAGTGATACGCGAAAAAAACGGAACATGATCCTGTTTCTGCGATGTTTCCAAAGTGTCAAAAAGCTAATCACAAGCGGACCAATTACTGAACTTGTTTAATTAATAAGAATGAAGATTGCGAAAAAATTTGAGAGACAATGATATTTGTATAGATTGGTGTTGAAAATGGTATAATCGCAATTAATACAACAAAAGTTAATACACAAAAGATGTCATGAAGATATTTAAACATTTTGGTCTCATAGACGTTATCCCTCTATTTAGAATTTTATATTGCTTTGGAAATTCGAAACAGAAATAAAATATGTCTCTTGATCATAAAATGCTCTAGCAATTAAGTATAAATGTGATATATAAATATCTAAATAGAAAAGAGAGAGGTAACGAAAAAGAATATGCGAGCAAAAGAATGGTGGTAAGCTCTGATAATTAGCTTGATGTACTAACTATAGAGACAATAATATACCGGTGCATATGATTTTTGCATTAGTCAATTGTTCTGGTCTTAAAACGATGGTCTTAGTAATGCCTTATGCGCAATTAAACGCGAGGTCAGACAGTCATTTAAAGTTATTTTGTATATCATTCAAATCTGAAATCCCATTCTATCTATATTACTTATCGTTAGTGGTATAATTTCGATTGTTAGGCAAGAAATAAGGTAACAAGAAGACTGTATAATCCAGGGATTCCTAGAATTGGAGATCATAACTCCAAACTTAGAGTAACTTCATGGAAACATTTTCGCGGAAACAATCTATTCTAATTCCATAATAATCGGTAAATGAAGAATGATTTTAATTGCTATATTTAATTGCTAAATTGAGAAATCTGTATCTTTTAACATTTTTATCACAATATAAATTCAATAAATAATTCATGTCGAAAACATTTAAAAATCTACTGCAGCCGAAAGATGCGAATAGAACCATAACGCAAGATGGATTGTTATCGGAAGTATCAACAAGATGTAAATCACACAAATGTAGATACATTTACATAGCCAGGTATATATTCGCATTCGTGCTAGACATGTATATATAAATATGCGTGTGTACGTATATACGTAGACAAATATAGTACACATATATTCTTGTAGCAGTTTATGGTGTAGCGCATAGAGGTTCTGTTTGTACAATTAGTTACGCCATTTCGTAACGGTGATATAGGTATAGCGTAATATTGCATGCACGTTGCGATTCCAACAATTGTAATAATCTTTCGCTAACGATTAAACCTACAAATAACAACATATAAAATGGGCATTTCGCGACAAATCAGTTGCTAAATTCATCGCTTGCTTATTGCAATTGGGTAATTTAATTTATACATTAATTCGTGTCACAATCAGAGATTAATATAATTCTTACTTCCTATTATAATTTTATTACATTAATTGTATTATACATAATGATATCAATTTCTATTTTCACGTGCGATCGTACGATAAATCGATAGAACTGATTTACATTTTACGAATATCCGAATAACGCGAACATAAAATTATAAGACTGAATTAGAAAAGAAATATATTGAGGAAAAAGTAGCGCCGGTTTATTTTTATTCGCTTCCAACGCACGTGATTTTCCGCAGACATAAAATCACCAGTAAATAAATCGCAACGTGTGAGACTCGTGCATGGATCTCTCTCTAGAATATCCCTCAAGTGGATCATTATCCGGATGAATTGTGTACTCGTAAAGATCGACGTAAAGAACGCGTTAACGATCGGAATCCATGCGAATGCGTGTTTCTATATATTTATACGTTGAATGTGGAAGTATATACGCGCGAACATTATGACGTCACTACTCTACAATATTCGGACAATCCTTATTATCTCATTACTAGTCCTCCGTATTGTCCGAATTGACTGAGTGATAAGATAAATGAGTGAAGGAACTTTTGCAAGGAAGCCGGCGTGCATAGCCTCCATTAATACGAAGCAATGTTTTGTATATATTGAAATAAATCTTGAAATTGCATAAAATTGATACAAAAAGTATTATTATTTTCCCCACTCTTATTTTAATATATATAATTATACTCTCTAAATCTGAATCAGTGAATGGTCACTAATTACATACATACACTGCATACTTTGCACTGATAATCAATGAAGTTCAATTAAAAAAGGAAGAATATTTGAGTATTATATAACTAAAATACTGATATTTGCACATTAATTTCAATCTTTCAATATCATATTCATTATTTAAGCATTAAAACAAGGTTAGTTAGATCATACAATAAAGATTAGCTAGGTTAGGGATCTTACATTTAATTCATTGAATACCAGTAGCACTGATATCAGTGATTATCCACTGATTCAGATTTGGAAAGTATATATTTTACTTATTCTTAAATTAAAATAATTAATTTTTATTATAGTTCATTATTAACATTTACATTAATCCTGTTTAAATCTATCTGTTAGATTAAGATTCTTTTTTGTTCAACTTGATTTCATTATCGAAAAGCTTGACATCAATGTAATTATCTACTTTGCCTATACGTAAATCCATTATATAGATTATGTCTTGTGTAACTTTTAGCGAGAGTGCAAATTGAATTGTGCATCAGCGGATTAATTAGGGCGCGTCGTTCAGATTTTTCAACCTACGCGGTCTACATCAGACTATAGTATAGAATGGGGTGGTTAGCCATGGCTCGGGTGTCGCTATGACGACGAACCCTGGATACCCGGGCCAACTGAAAGCGAATCACTCTGCCTCTCGTTCCCCGGAATCACCCTATCGAAGCGAATAGATGCGCGATGTAACAGGCGTTGTACATCGTACTTTTTACTACGATTCTGTAGCCTCATCATGTAATAATTGACGGAAAGATCGACAGATGTACACATTTCTAGGTCATGCATGGAAATTACTAATAATGTTATACAATGTCAAGCAGAATATCATTATTAGATATCATCATTAGATATTTGCATTTACATCGAGAAATTAAGCATGTACGCCATTAGCAAGGTCATTAGTCAACTTTAATTATGTAGAAATTCAAACCCGCTCGACCTTGATGTCAAGATAAGAGCACGTGAAATTTCTACTTTTTTTTTGGACGTGCACGCGAATAGCCGAGGCAAAGGTGAACCTTGCAAGAGGCAGTCTAATTATTTCGTGAATCTTGAGAACATTTCCTTCAATGTAGGGAAGAGAAGCATATATCTGTGTTCTAGAATAATTTTGATAATACATAATTTAGATAATTTTGATAATATTTAATGAAATCTTCATGATCTTCTCAAATTAAAATTATATACTCTTTTTATTCATTTAAAATTGTAAAACTTTTTAATTCTCTATTAAATGTTTAAATTGATATATTTCTCGGAAGTTTTTAAAAGAAATTAAAATACGCAAAAATAATATATTTACAATATATAAATCGGTAATCTGAGAATATATTGAGAAAATAAAAATCGGATGATTAAAAATTAAATTTTTAATTCTTTTAATGCAATTTAATATTAATCGACTAATTAAAATCTGTAAAATATTCTTGGAATATTATTTTCTTCATGATATATTCTCCTCATTTATTTAATATAGATATTACATTTTTAAATTTCTGAATTATAATTTTTAATTTTTTAATTCCCTTCTTTCTATGACACTGATTTATATCGATTTTATAAGAACATCGTCTAATCTTTAATTGATGCTATATCCAACTTCTCATCAAATGCATCTGCATTTTTGTCGTTTTTATGACGTTTGATGGGAGCACCTAGATGTCATTTACTCGATCCCAAGAATGCCAAGATAAATTCATCGTCTACGATGCGAAGTGTCCTGATATTCGTTGACACACGAGTACGTAATACTCCAAAGAATATTTTAAGACCTTTATTTATTTAATCTTTACTGAACGACTCACAAGCTGTGACATATCCTCGGCCTACTTTCCCGTTTCTTCATTATATATATTATGTATTCCAATATATAATTTTCAATCCAAATGTATGAATATATGTAAAATTCAACGTTGCGAATATAACAAGCTCATTATTACAATGTTAATTAGTTATAATAATTTGATATGAAAGATTGAGAAAAAATGTAGAATATTTATTTTTCTCGTAATCATTTATTGTCGATAAAATTATCTCGATAAAATCATCTATCATTGATAACAAGTTTAATATCCTTCTTTACTTCTTTTCTCTTCCCTATCTTTGCCTTTCCTCTCTTTTAATTAATTTTTCTTTTCGTTTTCTGTTTCTTATCCCTATTTTCTTCCTTTCCCCTTTCCTGACTCTTTACTTTTCCTCTTCCTTTTATTTCTCTCTTCTCTAGTTTTTAATTTCACTGGCAACGCCATGCATTATGAGTGTTCGAGGCCATTAGTTACACCACTGATGTACGTGCATCAAACGAATGTCTCGACATGCACCCGCGTTCCATCATCTTCCTTCCGATGCGCACGTATTTTGGACCGGCGTGCCGCTATTTCCATCCACGTGGCGAGTATTCTCAGCGGCTTGTTTTGACAAGCGCCGAACCGACTGGATACTTGACAGGACGCTATCTCCGCAAAGCGGACATCAAGTACACAGTATACAGTATGCAGGTATGTTTAAACGCACATCACATAACAACACACGATGAGAGATTTAATCGATTGGTCCAACTCAAAAGTCAACAATTAATGCACGCGTAACATTTGTGCGAGCATCGGAAAAACAATAAAATTATTCAACAATTTGATATTTGCTCCTACCATTCCATTACTTTTTTATTATATTTATTAATATCTGATTAAATTAATACATTAGTAAAATTGATAAAATCATTAATTAAAAAGTCTGTATTAAAACTAGGACAACAAAACAAAATAATATTCTCATTTTTAACATTTATTTTTATTCTATATTTTAATAAAAATCATTTTTGATATTAAAATTTAAAAAAAGGATATTTATTCTTGTTATAGAAACTTTATTCAATTCTTCAAATAAAACAGCAATTTAAAAAAATCCTACTACATTAAAACATAAAATAATTAATTATAGAAAAAATAATTTAAATATTGTAAAAAAAAATTGTAGAAAAGATTAAGAAAAAGTATTTAATAATTTGCATTTGTTATAAAAAATAAATATAATATTTATAACTATTAAAAACAATAATTCTATTTTCTTATATCATAGAACAAAAATATTAATTATCATAGAAAAAAA